TATTTACTAGATTCTAATAAGATAGAGGAAAATACAGTAATAGTTTGGGATAACATTGTTTAGAGAAGCAAAATCAATCAGAAACATTTAAATTTTCAGATGTAGTCATAGAAGAAGCTGTGCTTGTTCAGTTTTACCCTAAGTTCTATAGATCTGTTTTGTCTTTGCTGATGAAACGTGGGTTGGGTGAGTGGGCAGGGATGTGGGCTGGAGTCTGGCTGAGCTGCCAGGCTGGAAGGCTTGCAGTCAGCAGCATGAACTCCTGCTGCAGGCCAGCCACTGCTGCTGCAGCCCAGGGATTGACACTGGCACCAGTGCCCTTTCCATAAGGATCTGATGATGAGTCTGGACCATCAGCAAGTTTGCATCTGATACCACATCAAGAGTGGCCAAAGCACCGTGTTCTGCTCCTGGTCTGCCCAGGTTCCTTTGAGTAGCTGAGCCCTGGTTCTCTTCCTTGTCTTACAAGTAAAGCCTTGAAACTCCTGTAAGACATTTAAGAGTGTAACCTGACAGAATACATAGCTACCACAACATATAATGAAAATGATTTCTCATTTTCAGTGTTCTCAGAAGAACACTGAGCTTTTCAGCAATCATTTCTTTGTCTCAGAAGTAATTGTTTCAGTATTTCAGCTATTACTGCACTGAAGTGTGAATGTTTTTTTATCACATAGGCTTCACTAGGAAAGAAAGAAAAAAGTAAAGGATTGTTCTATAAAGCCCTTCAAAACTGTCCTTGGGCAAAGGTAAGCACAGAAAACAGGTAAACTTGTCATCATACTTTATTTTTTAAAGTTTTGTATTTGAAAAAAAGTTTAGCTTTAGTAATTGTTGTAAGAAGTTGTATGCAAATAAAAGGAGAGGTTTCTGAGGAAGTTATGTTAGGATTTTCTGCAAATAAGAAATGTATCTTAAATGGAAACATGATCAATAGCCACTGCAGTTTGTGTTTCAAACAGAAAGGTGTTGCATTGAGGCACAGCAGTAAGAAATCCTTTGTGATCTAGAAATGATTGAGTCTTTCAGACTTCTATCATGAGCATGGTAGTATCAGAAATACATAGCTAAATAAAAAATTATTTATGTAATAATACATAAAATTGAGAGAACCTGCAACTCCTCAGGTAATGTGTGTACATGCTGCAAATGCTCCAATGCCTCTTGTCCTCCATTTTATTTTTTGGAATAAAGTTACTCAGCATGACTTTGGGAAGACTTGATTAAACACCTACTTGGCTGTCACTGAAGGAGTACTAATGCTGTTCCTATTACCTTCAAGAATACGTGGTATTTCTTATGATCTTGCTACAGACTTGTTGCTGTCTACTTTATGCTGTGTTTCTTGCTAGAGAGGTAGCACAGAAAATGTTCCTGCTGTCTTTCCAGGTGCTCTATATGGATGCAGTAGAGTATTTCCCTGAGGATGTGCAGGAGACGCTTGACCTAATGACTGAAAAAGAGCTGAGAGTGCGGGTGCCTATGGAAGAGCTGGATCTGCTGCTGGAGATCTAAAAGAAGACTGTAGCAGAGTGGAGGAAGTACAGAAGCTGCTTCCAAAGCTAACAACTAGATCCATCTCTTTTCATACAGGAACTCTGTTGGGACTTGGGTACTATGTACTTGACATTTTTTGTTGTTAAATATTTTATATAAATTCCTATCACAATGGAGTTCTACTACCTGCAAGTATTCTGGAATCAAGCACTGCATTTTGCCCACAATAACGGATCCATGTCTCTGGGATAGCCTCTTCAACAGCCTCCTGTTGGAAGTTGTCTGCATTTCTTACTCTATTGTTTGAAATTACATTCCCTAGAGTTCAGCAGAGGTTCAGTACATGCCAGCTATGGCTTGATGAGCAGCACAGGAAATAAACATCTGCCAAATGGATGCTGCACTGTCCTCCAGCTGGCAGACTTCAGTGATTTCCTTCAGCATGGTATGGCTGTGCATATGCAACTGCCAAGTCAAACAGCCATTACATCTGTACATATACTGTAAAAGCTAAATTTTTCTTTGAGCAGGCACCTGTTTTGGTATGTTTTGACAGATAACCATTTAAATATAAATCTTTCTGAAAAATATACCTGAATATTTGAAAATTCAAAAGTGACTTGTTTTTTGTGTATTAATTTAATAGAACTGAGTGTATTAAAAATGAAAACGTGTCCATAATGCTTCTGTAAGCAGCTCACTTTCTAAACAAATTTTTGTAATTGATTACTGGCTTTGACTCATTTCCAGGCAATTGTTGTAAGAGAAGTAGAGGTTTGATCTGTATTTGATTCTCACCAAGAAGGCATAGTCTTCCATTATTATTTTAAAAGGAGCTTATAGTCCATGAGGCTTTTAGCAAGGTCCTAGAAAAGTAATATGAAATATGGTAACAATTTAAAGATACAGTTATGTTATGTTTTTATTTTGTGAAACAGAAACAGGGAAAGGATTGTGTAGCATCCCTACTCTTGAGACCCAAGGACTCAGAAACTGCATTTTCATCTGAAACAAGTATACCTGCAGCCACAGAATACCCAAAACTGCTTCAGACAGTTTTCATGAGAAAACTAACTGTCACTAGCAGCACTAAAGCAATTGGGACCATGCAGCTGGTGAGATCCTATTACACGTGAAACTGTGTCTGAACCAAGACACACAACTTCTAGCTTGGCTTTGCCACCACAGTACAAGACAGAGTACACTTCAGTCCAGGCTGCATTTCATCTATTCCTTTCTAAAATTGTTTTAAATATTGCAGGGAATATGTAAAATTTAAATGGCATTACAGCACTTCTGAAGAGCCTTTGTAATATTGATGTAGTTGCAAGTGCTGCTGATTTTACTGTAATCAATTAGTCTTTGTGAAAAATACGGTTTATTTTTTAAATCTTTATTTTCTACAAAAATGACAGAGCTCCTGAATTGGAGATAGAAGTTGCTCTGTACCCTGAACAGTAACATGACAAATTATGCCTGTGTTTATTAATGCTTTCCCATCACAGCAGATTGCCATTTCCTCTAAAGCCCTGAAAGGGCCCTGGGGAGGGGGAGAAGCTTGATTGGGCTCCTGCTTAGAGTCACAGAGGGACCTTGAAAGATCATCTGGTCCAACCTTTAGTGGGACAGGGAGCCTAGCTGAGATTAACAAGCTCTCACTGCAGTCATATGTGAAAACTTCCAGTGATGGCAGCAATGACTTCTTCTCCATCACTTTTCTGTTCTTCCATGCATCCTGTCCCAAGTCCTTTCCTTTGCAGTTCTCTCACTGCAGTCACATTTGAAAACTTCCAGTAATGGCAGCAATGACTTCTTCTCCATCACCTTTCTTTTTTCCATGCATCCTGTCCCAAGTCCTTTCCTTTGCAGTTTCTCCCAAAGCAGCACTGGGGCTGCTTCCTTCCTTTTGATGGTCCGAGGCTTCCTGGAGCAGGTCCTGCCTTTTAATTCAGTCCCCAGTAGCTTTCCTGTCCTTTTGGGGAACATACTTGCTGTTCATTTTCTCCTGATATTTTTTATTTTTGTCTTGTCAAGTTCAGAAGCTCTGGCAAAAGTGATAGCAGTTAAATTCTGCTGCAAAAGCTAAGAACTGAATTTTCAAATGAGTTTTTCAGTTCCTGTGGTGGCAGACAGGGTCCTAGAACAGTCCTTGGGTTCATTTCATGCAATGCAGCTGTTCTTCAGGCAGCTGAACCCATCTCTTTGTGGCTGTTGCTTTGAGCCTGCAGAAACAGCCATGTCCCTAATGAAAAGTGCCTTTCTTGCCATGCATGTCATAAAGCTCTTCAGCCCCTCAAGCAACACTGAGATCAACAGCCATGATTAGAAAGTGCTAAAAAATCCCTGGCTTTTGTGACATGTCCAAGGAGACAGATCTCCTAAGGTTTATAAGAATGGGTAATAAAACTTGTTTTTCTAAGCTCCAGCTGAAAAACAATTCTATTTCAGGATTTCTGTCATCCAGATTAAATAAAGGACTCCATTCATCTGTAGAGTTCATTTTTAACAATGAGCCACATAATTTTTACAGAGAAAAATAAAACCTCTTGGCCCTGCTGCTGCCATTGTTGTTGGAGCACTGGCCTGCATTTGCTCCCACAGAAAGTTCCCAGAACAAAGACTGCACAATGCAGAACTGGTTTGCATGTGGAACTTTTAAATAAACCTTAAAGATTACATGTACAACATTTGGAAATGAATTACTCAGAACTTAGCAAGCCCTTCACAGAAGAGTACTGCACAGGATACTTCATAAGCAGTACATGCATGGCTGCAATGGAGCCAGCAGACACTGAGCCCCCATGGCAGTGGAGCTGTAGGCAACAGAATTGTCTGGGGGGAGGAATTCAGGGTTATGCTGTAGAACAGCAGGCCTGGGACCTGTAGTTAGGATTTCTCTGTGCACATCTGCTGCATGCCAGAGCCTGCACCTCCAGCACTGGGGCTGGTGCCTTCTGAGTGTGCACATCCTGCCCTGGGCAGGTGGGGCCCTGGAACCTGGGCCTATGTGTTGGCTCTTTTCAGAGACATTCTGATGGTTATCTGATGAACTGAAACCCTTCTGGGAAAAACAAATCTATAAACTCTAATCTTAAAAGTACCCTATCCAAACATGTTTAGATGTTTAAGGTAAGATTACTAATGAGCATCCATCTTGCTCTTATAAGCTACCTTTAAAGTGTGTCTCACTTACTCACTGTTGCATAATTGTCATTGATTTTCATGTATAAATGACTGATGACACTGAGATTACTCAAAAGTGACATTTATCCTAGTTAGCCGCTGAAAAAAAGATAAAGAAGGTAATCAAGAACAACAGCAATGCTAGAGTAGTTGTAAGAGCCTGCTATGCCTAAGGAGGACTAAGATTTGGAGCACCTGCATTGCTCCCTGCCCACATGCTGTGGGTCACTGAGACAAGCACTTGGGTGACCAGCACTTTTTCTTGAAAGCCAATGAACAGACAGTTTCATGTAAATAGCAGGGCTTTGCCACCAAAGCAGTTCAGTTCAAATAAACATTTTATTGGGAAGTGAAGAATTACACTGACTGAAAACCCACAACTCACCAGCTTTTAACCTGTTCATGAATGCAAAGTAGCTGTGTGGATTTACCAAGACTCTCACCAGCACAGAACAGAAAGTTCTGTAAAGTTCCCAGAGAGACAGATGACTTAAAGATACAATCCCTCAGGGGTTCCCTCTTGCTTTTTATAGAGAACATTCTCTTTAGACTTTTTGAAATCTTCATTCGTTACTTTCATTCTCCGTTCCCTCAAAGCCATCAATCCAGCTTCTGTACAAATTGCCTGCAACACAGGAAGCAAGAATGGTTACACTTGCTGTGCAACCCCTTCAAACCACACCCTCAAAGGCAGCTGCATCTCTCCTACTGCTCCAGTAACTGCACAAGTGAGGCCTGTTAACAAATCTGGGTTCTGAAGTTGGGTACTGTTGTGTAGCACTGAAGCAGGCTGGATAAAGCCAGGTGAGTGCAGTGAAGTTACAGAAAGGCAGCTTTGTAACAACAGCAATTTCCCTGTGCAAGGACAGGCACATCCAGCTGCTTGGTCCTTCTGCAGGGAGGTGACAGTCGTGTCAGGCTGGTTTAAGCTCATGTGTGGTAACTGTAGCAAGGGCTCCATCTGCTTTAAAAAAGCAGACAGGATATCGCTGAAGCTTCCTAATATACAGTTGCATTTTTATCTGCCTTGCAACATAGTTCCTAAAAATGCTACTTATCCTGCACTATTTGAAGTACTGTTTAAGATACCTTGCACAAGATTCCACACTCTCCTTTTAGTTTCTACTTTGCTACTTTAAAATTTCATATTCAGGTAACACAGGTACATACTCTTACCAACACAAGCTACCTCACAATTATTTTGATAATTTCCCATTTGTAAAGCAGTGTACCTGGTACTCATAAAAGGTATTTTAAACCATCCCACTGTTCCTGTGATGTATGCACAGAAAATTGGTGAACAGTTCAGGTGAAAATGGTTTTGGATGCAGCAAAAATGAGATTTGAGTTTTGCTTTGAAGTATGAAGAATGGTGATGTGCACTGACCTTAATATCTGCACCACTGAGATCATCTTTTGCCATAATCAACTCATCCAAAGTCACATCATCTGCCAGGGTCATCCTGCTTGTGTGGATCTGGAAGATTCGTTTCTTTGTCTTTTCATCCGGCAGAGGGAACTCTATTTTCCTGTCAATACGTCCTGGGCAAAAGAGAAGTTCACTCTTAGGTTTCCTGCATGCAGCTGCTGGGAACAGCAGCAAGAACACCTGAAGGGTTTAAATGGCAGTAACTCTTAAGCTGGAGCATGTCCAGAGAAGGGCAATGGAGCTGGTGAAGGGTCTGGAGCACAAGTCCTGTGAGGAATATCTGAAGGAACATCTTGGGGTGTTTAGCCAGGAGAAAAGGAGGCTCAGGGGAGACCTTATCAACTGAAGTGATAAGGTGCCTGAAAGGAGGCTGCAGCCAGGTGGGGGTTGGTCTCTTCACCCAGGAAACAGGTCAAGAGAAAGTGGGCTAAAGTTTACATGGGAAGGTTCACATTGGATGTTAGGAAAAATTCCTTCATGGAAAGGGTCTTCAAGTATTGGAAGAGGTTGGCAGGGAAGTGGTGAAGCCACCATCCCTGGATGCTCAAAAGAGGTGTAGTAGTGGCACTTGGGGATGTGGCTTAGTATGGTGGACTTGGCCATGACACCTTAATGGTTGGACTCAATGACCTGAAGTCATGTCTTGGGGTAGAAAGCAAGGTCAGACTATCTCTTTCAATTCTGGCCAAGTATTATCTCCTCTGTACTCTAACAGCACTGGCTTTGAGCTGAATGGGCTGAAGCTAAATTATGACAAAACCACACCAAACACATACCTCAGCAACTTCATACCATGGAGGTATTTTAGCTTATTCCTTTGATCTCTGTGTTGTTTTCTACCTCCCACTTAACAGACACTACAGATGTACTATGCTTCGGTACATTTTTAGTGGCCATTTGAAAATACTACCTGTGCCTGCTCAAGCTCAATGTCTCCCTCATTCATCCCCCAAATGGCAGGAGTGTGCCAGGTCAATAAGAGCAGCCTGCTTTCCTTGCCCCAGGATCCAGGCTGTCTCTGGGAAAGCCTAGGCTCTCACCCCCAAAAGCACAGGTGCTGCTGCCCTGCCTTCCCCAGCTGCTGCAGCTGTGCTGCTGCTGCACACATCTTGCTTAAAAATTACTTAAAATGGCTGTGCCATCTTAACAGAAAGGAAAAATATTCATATTGTTTATGTATAAGTAAAGGAATGAACACATTTCTTCTCTTCCAAAGATTTTTCTCCTATTTGGAAGCTTGTTCATAGATGAGATGGTGAATAAGAACAAGTTTGCAGTCTTTTTACCAGCCTGTGTTTGTCAAGTTATGACAAGTCCTTTCACAAGAAAAGTGGCTTAAGCACAGACAGCAGGGAAGTCCCTTACCTGGTCTAATCAAAGCTGGGTCCAGTGTTTCTATTCTGTTGGTAGCCATGATAACTTTAACATCCCCCCGAGAGTCAAAGCCATCCAGCTGGTTCAGCAGCTCCAACATTGTGCGCTGGATCTCTCTCTCACCCCCCGAGTTTGAGTCATACCTTTTAGAAAAAAAGCATAGTTACAAAAAGCACTAAGGAACTGGCACAAAGGTATAAACAAAAGGGGGAGAGGGGTATTTTGTCTGTAAACATCCATAAGACATTTAAATAAAAACATTAATGTTTATCCATATAAACAAAACACAGGTTTTCACAATCATGTTGTGACATCTAGGTTAAGAGACACTGATCTATTCTTGTAGCTGGGGAATGTAACAGCCATCATGTGAAGGAGATCTGGGGGGTTTTTCCCATGTTTCTTACATATTTGGAAAGATCTTCTTCCCACCTAACAAAATCAACATAAAAAGGAAAAAACCTAATTCTTAAAAGCACATACATCCATACATGAGGCAGCAGCTGGCACTTTGGGCTGGTAGCAGCTTTGGGTTGGTGGCCTTGTAGTAAACATGTTATTTTTCTTACCTTCTTTTTTATTTAAAAAACACTGACTACTTTAAAGACTATTTGCATTGGACAGTTCCAACAAACCTACAGAATTTTCAAAGTAATACAGTTTGGATATGGGCTGAACAACAGTTTAGTGTGGCACAAGCAATGCTTCTCCATGACATACACTGTGCAACTTTCTGTAAAAGACTCTCAGAGCAGAAGTATTTAGCCACCTACTCGAGAGGCAAACAACAAATGGACATATTCTGTATTAAATATTCTGCTTTACCATTGGATCACTAAAGGAAATTATTGCATATAGACTTGCAGCTGGAGAATCCCATATACAAAGTGTCTCTTTCTGGTTTTGACACTCTCTCCTGGAGATGCTGCCAGGTAACAAGAGAACAGAGGTTCTCTCTGGTCATGTCTATTTAGTCTGAAAAGGCTGTGATATATTGTGTTTCCACAGAAGTTATTGAAGTGTTACTTGTTACAAATGCTTACATCACACAGTGTATACAAATGTAGCAGAGCAGAGACAGCGAGTCTCAGCTCAGCTGCAGAAGAGTGTATACAAATGTAGCAGAGACAGCGAGTCTCAGCTCAGCTGCAGAAGCGTTTGTGGTGCTGCCTGGCAGTGCTGTGTGTGCAGAGCTCAGCCCTGTACCTCTTTGTGGTGCAGCCCTGGCAGTGCTGTGTGTGCAGAGCTCAGGCCTGTACCTCTTTGTACCGATGGCGTCGATCTCGTCGATGAAGACGATGGAGGGCGCGTGCTCCTCGGCCACGCGGAACAGCTCGCGCACCAGCTTCGGGCCGTCCCCCAGGTACTTCTGGATCAGCTCCGAGCCCACCACCCGCAGGAACGTCGCTGACGTTTGGTTTGCCACTGCTTTGGCCAGCAAAGTTTTGCCTGGTTTTAGTTGGAATGAAACATTGCGATTAGTTTGCAGAGAAGGAAAAGAGAAAGAAAAAAGAAAACAGTTGTATGAAATTTGTGACAGACTTGGCAGTGCTTTAAATACCAACCAAGTGTAGATTATTTGACTTGTTATCTCAGCAAAGGTGTTACTGACTGTAAAATACCTGTGCCAGGTGGGCCATACAGAATGACTCCTTTGGGTGGCTTTATACCCATCTCTTCATAATATTCAGGGTGGGTGAGAGGAAGCTCCACAGACTCCTGAAGCACAAGAAAAACATGTTTTTATAAGACTGAGTGGTCTCCAACAGAGATCTGTAGGGATCTTCAAAACAGCAATAAAGAAAGCAGTGAAGGCAAATAGAACTTGACTGATTTCAAGACACACATCAAACAGCATGAGCCTTGCTGCCTCCCATTTTAAGGCAGACAACTACTTCATCTGCACAAGCCTTCCTATTGTTTCCACCAGTGAACATTCCCCCTCCTCCATCCTCAATGCATCATCCCAGATTTAGAACCCTGGAGCTCCTGAACCCCAAACAACCATGGATGACCTTGGGGCCAGGGAACTCTTTATGAAAGGGTGCCTTCTATAAGGATACCATTGATTTTAAGAGCATTTGTGGCTTTAGACACCTATCCAGAACAAAAGGGTTGAGTTTTAGCATGGTTCAGGCAGAGTTCAGGGAAAAAACCAACCAACCCAACACACCCCAGCCAAACAACAAACAAATGCCAAAACAAAATGAGCAATTGCCCTGAAAGCGATTTAGCCAATTAATGAGGAGTTGTGATAAACCTGATATGTCTGTACCAACCTGCACACTGCTGGTACTTTATTTCCACTGCTCTGATATGAAGTGGCTCATTAAGAGTATTTACTGTAACAATAGAAGTAACACTTTACTCAAACCTCACCTCTTGTTTTTCTTCCAAAGGTGATTTAGCCAATTAATGAGGAGTTGTGTTAAACCTGGAATGTCTGCACCAACTTGCACACTGCTGGTACTTTATTTCATGAAGTGGCTCACATTAATTAAGAGCATTTACTGTAACAATAGAAATAACACTTCACTCAAACCTCACCTCTTGTTTTTCTTCCAAAGGTTTCATCTGTTCTTGGTTTCTGATAAACTCTTCCTCCATTAAGAGGTAATCTTTAATTCTCTCCAATTTCAACAACTTGAGTCTGCACTGTGTGTGAGGAGTCACTGTAACCAAAGCAGAACCACAGTATTTTACAACAAGTTTGACACAGCACCCACTAACCACTAATTCATCACAAGAAATCCTGCTTTATTTTCCTGACTGTAACTTGTACCTTACTTGTCCCACCGTAACTCCTGGCAAAAAACAGATTTAACATCTCCCCTAATTTCTTTCTCTCTTACCTGGGAGTTCATGGGCTGCATCTTGCAAAACAATAATCTTATTCTGTGGGAGGCTTTTTGATGTTAATTAGGAATAAATCACATTTGGCATTGTGTTAGTGGCCTCCACAGAGGCAGAATGCTTACCCAGGGGGAGTTTGCTGGCAGCATCTGGTCCCTTGGTCTTCTTTTTCTTTTTCCCCACTCTGGTTGGAACTGGAGGTTCATACTTCTTCTTCTTGTCCTTATTCATGAAAAGAATTCAACAACAAAATTTAAAGATTGGGATAGTAAAAAGTAAACAATACACACTGTGTTAAGTGCCCAGACTAAAAAAGGGCTCAAGGTGAAGGACTTCATACCAAAACCTTCTCTTTATGATCTGCAGCAAGAAGGGTAAAAGAAACATTACTCTTATTTTTTAAGAATGTTCAAAAATTTCTTCTCCTGCTTATTTTACATCCCTCTTTCTAATTTAAACTCCTGCCATTTTTCAGTGAATACAGGACATGGAAGGCTCAAGCCTGAAGTAAATCACAAACAGGACTGAGATGAGACAATGAGAAAAATATTGAATCTGCACCTTCCTGCTGCACTTGAGTGAGTAAATCAGACACAGCCAGCTCCCCAGCCCAGCCCCTGCCTGCCATGGACACTGTGCCCTCCTTTCCCAAAGGGGGCCCTGATGTCCCACATGTGCAGTACAGTCCCACTGCAGCTCTCTGTGCAATGTCACCTCCGAGCCAACAACAGCTCCTTAAGTGGCAGCTTGAAGGCAACTAGTCTTTCCTAACCCTCACACATTTATAGTTTTATTTTTTAAAACAACAAGTCACCGTGAAGAAGTTTCAGTTTTTCTTAAGCTCCCTTTTTTATTTATGAACAATATTTGTTTTCTCCATGTACACCCAGAAAAGACTTTCATTAGAGCCAGCAAGAGCATAATTTTATGCAGTTCCAAGCACAACAATTATTTTTAAAAGTAAATGTTAAAGCATATTGCAGCTAGGCTCTGTAGCAGCACACTTGTAGTTCACTCTGTAAGTATTTATTTGGGTTTCAGTTACCTTGTCATCCTTCTTGCTACCACCAGGACCATGTCCGCCACTCTGACTTTGACCCTAGACAAAAGGCAGAAAAACAAAAGGCAGAAACCATCACACATGAGCAGTTTTATGAACCGAGACGCCTGCGGGCAAGTCCACGTACAGAAATCCCGTAACTGCATTTTTCCTGTCTAAAAAAGGACTAACTTATCCAGCTTGTTGCCCAGAACCGAAAAGAAGCGCCCCGCCCGGCCCCACCGCCCGCTCCCCGCCGAGCCGGGCCGCGGCCTGCAGGCGCCGCCGGTCGGTTCGCGCTGTGAGGGCCGCGCGGGCCCGGCCGGGGCGCGGCGGGGCGGCGAGCCTTCAGCGTTACAGCAGCTTTGTCCTGCTCCTGAGCCTTCCTTCCTTCTCCATGTAAAAACGTTTTTGTGTGTGCTGTAAGAATTGCTTTTCTTGTGGCAGCACTTTAGGAACGTGGGTGAAGTTTTCAGGAAATCTCTCCCTCCACAAAAACGTAACTTTTGTACCTACGCTGAGTTCTGCCGGTCTGTGGTGTTCCTGGGGAAATGCAGGAGAATCTTTTAGTGTTGCCACATTCTCTTCATAGAGAAAAGCAAGGCACAATTCTTCCCAGGAATATTTCTGGGTTTCACATTCTCTGAACATCAGAGAAAGAAAACACAATTCTTATCTCTTGCTGCGCCTGTGTTGTGCCAAAGTGGAGCGCAATATGGAGACTGTTTAGCCAAAGTGAGGATGTTTTGTTCCCTTGGCCTATCAGGGCTATTATAAATAAAAAGTTATCAATTTTTTTAAGGTTGCAAAGTTAAAAAAAGTTGAACCAATTGCTGTTAAATTGAAGGTTACCTGCATGTTGCAGAAGAGTTCTTCAACTACCTGTTAATGGTGATTAGCCATTGTCCCCTCTAATGCCTGCAGGGGTGATACCAGACCCCGCAGGCAGCAGGGGAAGGGGAGGGACATCAGAGCTAGTATGCAGATGAGAGAATGCATTTCACCTGTAAGTTTCAGGCAAAAACCCCTAAAAACAACGAGCCAACATGGAACTAAGAGACCTAAGTGACGTCTAAAGACGAGGAACTTAATCCAGTATCTGCTAAAATCCTTTTACTTCTCACCCTAACCTAAGGTCTTAACTAGAAAGAGGACCTGGAGTGTTAGACCAAAAAAGGGGAATTTCCTACTCTGCCGTGAGGACGGAAGCCCCAGCTCTGCCTGCAGACCAGCGGACACAGCTGCACCATTCTTCGTGCCATTCCTGGGAGCACCGGCGGCGTGGGTGTGACCCATCAGCTTCTCCCCACCTGAGCTGATTCTTTTTAATAAAGGCATTAAAAAGGAGAAAGATCTCCTGCCCCGGGGCCAGGAGAGTGTGTGTGTGTGTATGTTGGACTGTCAGCTGAGAGTCACGGGAGAGCCAGAGATGAGTGCAGTTCTGTGCAGGTGTGAGCAAGGGTGAGTGCGAGGCACATTCAGTTCAGGTCCAATGTCTACACTATAGTAGAATAAAGTAATTAATTAGCCTTGTGATACGATGGAGTCCTCCTCATCATTTTTTCTCTCTCGCCAACGTCAGAGTCGCCCTTGCTTTGATATTTTAGTGTCTGCTTTTGCTGTTCCCCAGGGCGAAGCTCGGCCTGGACTCGAGCCCTTCCCGATGCCGGGCACTTTGTGTCCCGCCTGTTCCATCAGTGCCCCGCTCCGGCGGGCACAGCGGCTGCTCCGGGATGCGCCCGCCGGGCCGAGCCCTGCCTCCTCCGGCGGGCCTGCAGTGCTCTGCTCCGGGCCAAAGGACGCCACTGTCAGCTGGGAGGTGACAGCCAGGATGAGGGCACAGCCTAAGAGTGCTGCCAGCCTGCCCTCACCCAGTCAACCGGCATACAGGCTATATTTACATCCAGCACTGTGTTCAGTGTAGAGATCAGAGCATTTGCGAAAAGAGGCTTCAGTTTGCAGCAGTAGGATGTGGGGTTGTTTTGCTTTGCTTTGATGTTGGTTTTTTCTTTCACACTTTCTCTAGAATTCCTGTCTGGGTAGGGAACTTTATTAATTAGTAATGTCACTGGCTTAGCTGTGTAGAAAGGTGTGAGGTTTTGATAATTTACTTTGGTTTGGTTCCATTTGCTCACAAGGGTTACTGTGGTGCTGGATTTAATTTGACTTTTCTATTGTTTTCCTTGTTTTGTGAATTAGCTGCCTTTTTGTTACACTATCAGCTGTTCTGTAACTTTTAAGGGCATTGAAACAAAAATATAACAGGTAGTCTTTGCTTTAATAACATTCACTTTTTGGAGTTTACAGTCTTACAGGATTGCATCTGTATTTCTTTAACCTTACAGTGTAAAGATGCTAGAACATTCTTTCCCTCACACAATTCTTCTCCCTTTAACCTCCCTTTAGACTAAGATATACCCATATTTATTTTAAATTATACCTGTAATTGTTAGTTCTGGTTATGATTGAGAATTCTTATCACTTTTTATTTCGGAAAGCCTGATTTTAGTGCCATGTAGCTTTGCAGACATTTTCTGTGAGGATTATGGCATAAAATGACCTAAATGATAGGGGTGTAGGATGAATGTAAAAGCTGAACTTTCCATTTATAAGCTGACAAGACAAATCTGTGACAGCCTCTCTGATTTTTTAGTAGTAATAAATATTAGGAAATTATATATGGGAGCAAGTGTAAAAGGATTTTTCAGACAATCTGGCAAGATTGTCTCCCAGCTCATTCACTTAAAGACACACATGGAACAGCTGTGACAGAAAACATGAGCTGCAGAAGGGGAACACTGTGTTTGGGGTGATCTGGTTAATGGCTTCCAGTTCTTGGGGTGAATAGTGCTGGCAACCTAGAAGTGAAATAGAAACGTGGTTCTGTAACCTGACTGCTTGCCTTAACTTTACACATCCAGAATTTTAGTTTGGTACAGATAATATCAAATTAGGAACTTTCAACAATAAATATTGTATAAAAAGAAATATTATCCTAGGGCCTCTGATTTCTAGGGGTATGCTTACTAGAAAAAAAAAAACAAAACCAAAAGAGTGAGCCAGGGTAACAAGAAGGAACACATAGTCCTTGTTTGTTAGAGATGAACATAGCCTCAGGGGCATAAAAAGCTCTTCACATCAAAAAATACCAAGACTTCTTCAAAGAGGATGGGGTTTTTTGGGCTCTGTTTTTAGTTAGTGTTTTCTACCCCTCCTCTTTATTCTGCAGTGAGCTTACTGCTGATCTTTTAGGCATATTGTAAAGCCCTCAGCTCTGTTCCCAGGCCTCTGAGGAGGAAGAGGGCAGCTGAGGGCTGGGGGAGTATTGGGCTTGGGATTAGTAAATAGCAAAGAGGTTTATTTTCCCTTTGCACATACAGGAAATTACTAGGACTGCTTATGTTGTTGATATTAATTTGTCTTTCTTAGTATATGTCTAGCTGCCTTGAGCTTTTTTTGTTTGCGTAAAATGAAATAAACCTACAGATTGGAAAAATATAATTTTTGCTATTGCAGCTACATACAGTGGGTTGCATTTTCAAAAGCTGCAATTTGGACACCCTCTTTTCATAAATGGGCTTTAAACTTGCATCACCTTCAATAAATGAATAAAATTACAAGGGTTTAAGCACCTTTTTTTTTTTTTAAGTGTGCATGTGTCAAATTATCAAATTAACCATTAAGCTTCTCTGCTGCTTACAAGTTATGCAAACAGTTCAGAAGTGGCAGGTATTTCTACCCCCTACTAATTGGCAAGTATATACATTCCCATAAGTGATGGCAAAGTTTGGCCCAAAGGATTCCAAGGAGTGAGAACAGAACAAGAGCAAAGTGGAATCTTAAACCCAATGGAAAGGGAGTCCTTTCTCACTGTGCAGGGGTTAGCAAAATGCCAGGTGGTGTGGCTTCTTGGGTCTCATATTTTGGTAAGAGAAGATCCTGTGGCACTTCAGCAGTGAGCACAGAATGATGTTGCTATGGTGCTTTCTTGTTGCATGGCAGGAAAATGTAATAAGAAACCGATTTTTTCGTATAGTCTAACATATTAGCTGCTTAAAATTCTGTAGAGTTTTTTGTAGCTTTAGGAAAGCTAGAACAAAAGACTATGGGATAAGAAACTTACTACATTTGGGGCAAAGAGAAAAAGATAAGTGATCAAAAATGGAGTTATCCTCTAAATGGAATACAGAGTTCTTCACCTGGCTAATTAAGGGTTGCTGATGTTGAAAAGATCCTATCACACATTGCTCCTCAGAGTAAACCCATTGATACACTAATAGCTGAGGAGGGTTTTAACAAACTGACCATTTCTTCAGTAATTACACCAATGTTCACATAAATTAGTTGGATTCACTTTGCAGGACTCAATCAAATGATTAAAAGATAGTGAAATAATTTTTATGAAAAGAGAAGAAAAAGAAACAGGCCTTTCATTTCTGAGAAAGCAGTACTTCTAAAGACACAAATGCTTTCTAAATATTGTACTGACTACTACTGAGGCTGTGAGTCTGAAATTCCTAGACAGTAATAAAGGTTTGCCAAATCTGTGTGCTCCATTGTTTTATTAACTGCTAATGATTCGTATGTTTTCCGTCATGAAAGGGCAGAGTTGTTAAATTACTCATCTAATGCTGCAAGTGTGCCTGCTTTGCAAAACCCAGGAAAGTCATTATGCCTGCTCCAGGTCTTCTCCTCACAGAGCAGTGCAGAGAGGCCAGAGGGCCGAGCACATCCACACAAATACACCAGCAAAGCTGTTGTTAAGGACAGGAATTTGGAGGAGAGTCTTTAAATCAGAAAGTGTTTAGGGACAGTCCCATAGCCCACTGAGGCAGATAGAAAGAAAGGCTGACTAACAATGAAAAGCATAAGTGGGCTGAATGCACTGGAGTATCAAAGGCAGTAGAAACTGGAAAGAAGGGAGAGAGCTATCATCAGTGTAGGGGAATGGGAAGTAATTGTGTGAGACATCAGAAAAGCAAGGTTCCTGGTAACCTAGGAGCCACTAGCTTCAGCACCTTGCCACTGGAACTGAAGATATGTTGGCTTTAATTGCTCCTCCCCAGAGCAATTAGTAGTAGAGGTACTGGCTCTGCTTTAATCTGTTGACTGTAATGCAATGGCTCCTCTGTCATTTCCTGCAGCACTGTAATCTAATACTGCACAAGTGTCTCACCATGTTCACATTCTCTGTTGAGTAATTGTGGCTTTGATTTCATGATGCATAGTGTGTTCAATCAGCCTGTAATTGTAGCACTATCTGGAAGCATTGTTGATATATCTATGTAATTATGTTTATTGTTAATAATGCAAATTGAATCTGTTGAGTTAGTCAAGTCAGTCATCCTCAAGAAGCAGTTTCTACAGATGGTTCCTTTAGCTGCTCAGGAGGGGTGTTCCTTTGCTCTTTCACAGAAAATATACTCTTATTGAAAGATAACTTTGCAAGTAAGAGCCACAGCCCCTTCATGGATGTGTCAGCATGTACTGTAGAGGCTATGCAGGAATCTTGTCTATCCAAAACATCTGGAGAAGGCCCTGAATTCAGTCTAATGTGTGTGCTACTGGCAGGTAAAGTGACAAATGAGGGATCCCTGCTTGCTTTGGATCTTGCTTCATATGGGCTTTTCTAATAATTGGCAGGGTGATGAATTCCGGAGTATTTGGAGATAATAATCTTTTCTGGAAAAGTATAGGAGCTGCACAGGTGCTGTGGCTCTCAAGCTGTATTTTATCTTCTACAAACATGTCTGTTAAAAAAACTTTGTCCTTTTCTGATATAGATTTCTTTCTGCCCCAGTCTCACATAAAGTCAGCCCTGTCAAAGGCTTTCAGATATATATTTATAGTTGTTTAAATTGTCTGTATTCCCTC